ATAAAAACCAAACGAAAAGCAACATTTACATAATTCAAAAAGCAGTGTATTAAGGACAAAATAGAGAATAAAACAGTGGCGCTAATTTTTCTATATTCATTGAAAATTACATAAATAACAAAGGTATAAGTGATCAAAAAAATAGAGAAAAATTGAGTTCTCTGTTTCAAAACGTAATTGCACACAGAAAAAGTCATCTTTTTATCATAGCTTTATATAGACCGTTTATTGTAAAGTATATACTTTAAATTTCCAATATATCTTTTAATAAAATACGTAATATTGCACAAGAAACATAAAAAATATAAATCCGATAAGGGTCCCACGACGCCGCGCCGGCCGCCCGTGTCGAATTTCTACCGTATCGCTCTCGCGTATAAATAAGCAGTCTCAACGTCAACTGGCATAGAATATAAGGGAAAATTAAACCGAAAAATTATTTATTTTAATTCTCTCGTAATGAAATTAGACTATTTGTAACGCATTATAAATTTATTTTAAGATAGAAATCTCTCGCAATGCGAATAGTAAAGCGCTACGAGGTGCGGGCCGAAATATCGGCTCTGGCACTTTTCGCCAGTTGCAGCGCGGCCCGATATATCGGCCTCCGGCACTAAAAGGGTTAATATCCAGAAAGACAGCACCTAATATTTTCTTTTTTTTTGCAAAAGCCAACAGAATATACGTTGTCCATGCATGACCTTTCTTGTCTAAATCCAAATTATATGTTAGGAATGACATTGTTACGTTCTCTCCACCACCCTAGTCAGTCTAACATTATCTTTTCATATACTTTTGCTATGAAAGATTCTAAAGCTATTAGTTTAAAAGATTTCTTATTAGGTTTAGGCATTAAGATGGTATAAAATCTGTTTCATGTTTTAAGTATTTCGCTCGATTTAAAAATCTCATTGAACACTTTAACCAATCTTCCTCTGGCGTGTAAAGGTAGCTCCTTCAAAATTTCATTGCTTGTAAAACCTGGCCCAGCAGCAGCTTTCCTTTTAAGATTATTAATAGCCTTATTAAACTCGCCCATCTTTATATCCCCAGATAGACTATTTTCCTCTTCTTCTTTTAACTCTACCTCTAAAACCGCTTTTGTTCCAAAATGTAAAGCTATGTAAAGCTACACATACTCGATTATCTCCGGATTTTCCTCTTCAATAGGTAATGACTTTCCGTTATGCTGTTTGCTCGAAAAACTTTTGATAATCTGCCATATTCTGTTTATACCCATGTCCGGATTCACTGAATTGCAGAATTCTTTGACGGCTCGGCTTTTCACCCTTATGAAGGTTTTCCTTGGCTCTTTGCTAAGTTTCTCATATCGAGAGACTCGGTCGAGTCTCGCGCCAAGTACAGGACACGGCCCGCCAAGACTCTCTATTCGAAGCATCTCTTGTACCTGTGTTTCGACTCAAATATCTTATGAACGGCTATGTGTGAGAAAAAGTTATTGATACATTCACTATAGGAATCAAGGGTTCTTAATCGATTGCTACCAAGTTCAATACGATTAGTGTACAAGATCAGGGCGTATTCACATCGCGAACGAGATGATTTTATTTCAGGTCCGTTGTAGTCGTCTTCGCACGTCCATCTACGTTTTTACACGGCAGATGGCGCTGACTGCTTTGCCTTCTTTACTTATTTGTACTCTAGATGGTGTTGGTAATTTACGAATACACAACACAGTTATACTTCGAGCCTCGTCCTTCGAAGATTAATGTAGTGGTAGTCGTTCCTAGAGAATTTCACAACGTTTGAGAGCTAGGGGAAAAAAGAAGTTTGTACCTCTTGCTTTCTCCTTCCCGCCGCTTGCGCGCTGGCTTCTTCATTGTTGTTCATTGTGCGAGAGAGTTCGCATCGTGAGAGAGCTTTTGAAAATTTTGAATAGTGATTAATAGAGACAGTAAAGAGAAAACGTCAAAAGGTGTGAAGGGAAAATCTTCCCCAGAGGGGGAAGACATAGGACGATTATTACTCGAGAAATTGCGGAAAATGGAAGACGAAGTGAGGGAATTACCGAAACAAAGGGAGACAGCCAAGATGGCGGTCGAGGAGACAATGGAAGAAACTACGCCGCAACATGGAAGTATGGAAAATGCGTTAATTGCAGGTAGGATACGACACAGTTGTCTAAACCATTATACAGGAATAACTTACCCACAAGGGAAGACATCCTGTACTAACATGTATCCTCTTACAGGGGAAAATGCATCCGATTCATCTGATAAAGAGAATCAGGAGAGCGTGGCCAGCAGGACAACAAGTCCTAACGCCTCAGAGCAAAAGGAGAAAGGCATAAGAGCTGGGGACAACGAATCTAACTTTTCTATACAGAGTACAGAGGGGACTAAGGCCAAACTTGACGAAGTGGTAATGGTTATACTAGGGCTTGACCCGACAGGGGACGCAGTCCTCCTGTAAAACTTCACCCAGACTTACTAATACGCTGGAAACACTGGATAGTAAGGGGCATACCAAGTGAATAAAAAGAAAAACTGACGAAGAAACATAGTAGGAAAGGAGATTGTCCGTTAGAGGTACCCAAGGTGAACCGGGGAGATTGAAGCAATTATGCAATGATGCAACCGAAAAGGGAGACCGTCATCTTCAGGAGGTACAAAACCTATTAGAGTCTGCCATGGCAGCGCTGGGCACAGCTATTTCAATGATACTTTCCGAAGAAGAGGAAGGAATTGACGGATTAATCCTGCTAGAGACCCTCTGCGATTCAGAGAAAATACTGGCAGAGCTGCATCATTCGCAGTTGGGGGGCAGAAGAGTCTTCATATCTCCAATCTTGATCAAGCAGGTAAGACCAATTGTAGCCGACACAGAAGCAGATGAGTGGTTTTACGGCACAAAGCTGTCAGAAAAGATTAAAGATGCAAAAGATATAGAGAAAGCCAGCCAAAACATTAAAACACAACCATCAGTAGTGAAGAAACAGGTTCAGAGACAAAATGCTTTAAAGTGGCGGAGCCCACCTAAAAAGACAAAGCAAGTGGGCGAATGCTCAAGACACAACACAAGAAGAGCATCAAGCTCGTGCTACAAGGGGCGAGGCCCATGGGCGGATATTCCAGAATCGGGACCAGGTCAGATGGAGAACAAAGAGTCATTAACGCAGGAGGTAAGCACAAAAGCTGGGAAATTAAAAGAACAAGTGAGAGAATGGGAGGAAGTAACAAGTGACAAAGTCATTATAGAATGTATAAGGGGATACAAACTAAAGTTCGACAGCCCTCCGAGCCAAGGAAAGGCACCAGAAAGGACAATTCCTGTCGCCGTATTTTTTGAGACCGAAGATAGATGGCTCAAAAAGATTTATTATAAATCTAAAAATGCTGAACGAATTCATTTCGACAGCACACTTTAAGATGGAAGATAAGGAAACAGCAATAAACCTCATATCTCTTGAAGATTTTTTGGCAACACTGGACATAACGGATTCATAATTTGCGGTAAACATGCACAGCTCATGCAGGAAATTCCTTAGATTTCAATTCTCGAATCGATTATATGAATTCACCGGCCTCACATTTGGTCTCTACACAGCCCCAATGATCTTTACAAAAATAATGAAACCTGTAGTCAACAACCTGGGGGTCCAAAGCCTAATATCAACAATATACATAGACGACCTGCTGCTGATAGGAGAAGACTACATGTCAGCCCAACCCGCAGGGACCCTGGTGACGTGTTGGCCGGGAGTCGCATACAGTAGCGTGTACTGCAAACGACCAGAGAGAGGAAAATATCTTGCATTACGGGTAAATGACGGGGAATTCGACAAGAAGATGACTCTCAAAGACTGTGTTGCAGAGGATGTTAGATAGTGGAAGAATAGTCTACAAAAGATCAACCCCATTAGAACCCTAAAATTTAAGCTTGAAATAAGCTCGGACCCGTCGCTAAGAGGTTGGAAAGCACATTGCAGAGGGGTGAGTACGCAAGGTTTCTGGGATGAAACAAAAAAAACTCATTACATAAACTACCTCGAACTAATAGCGGCATTCTTCGCACTGGAAAGTTTTAGTGGCCAGGAGCATAACGGCGAAAGTTTATTAAGAATGGATAATACGACAGCTATATCGTACGTTAACAAAACAGGTGGGATTCAGTATCCCAAGCTTAACAAAATCGCAAGCTCAAGAAAATTTATGGGGATATGCGATATACATACCTTCAAAAGAGAATGTAGAAGCAGATAAGGCTTCACGATTCTTTAGTATAGATACTGAATAGGAACTAGCTGACTGGGCATTCAGCAGAATTGTAGAAAATTTCGGAACTCATGAGATAGACCTCTTCGCCACCAGGATAAACAGGAAATGCAGAAAATCCTGTTCATGGCGACCAGACCCAGCAGCGTATGCGGTAGATGCATTCTCATTATCATGGGGGGGGGGGGG